AAACAAAACACAAAAACCCCCCACAAACAAACAGACAAAAAAAAGAAACAAACAACACACCCAAAAGAAATGCAGGGATGAAAGAAAGAAGAGATAGCTGGCCTTCAGGATGTGGCAGGAGAAATTTATTGACAGAAGAAGACTTCACTGTAGAAGGGAGAGGGAGGGAGAAAGAGAGGGAGAGGGAGAGGGAGAGGGAGAGGGAGAGGGAGAGGGAGAGAGAGAAAGAGAGAGAGAGAGGGAGAGAGAGAAATTAAATTAATTCTTCCCCTCTGTGTTCACAAAGGAAGATAAGAGACAAATGCCAAGAACAGACATAAATTTCCCTGGGGTAGAAGACGAAATATTGAAGAAAATCAGGATCATGTCAGACCAGGTGATTGAGAAATTAGAACTTCTGAGGACTGACAAAGCTTTACAGTCAGATTAATTCCAATAAAAAACAGTGAATGAAGGATGGGGTAAAGAAATGAAGGGAATCTTTAGATTGTGTTATGGTTCAGCAAAACTGGGGTAAAATGGTTTACGGAAAGTTCAGGAACTGTTGAACCAAGTATCTCAGGACCTGCAGGATCAGTGTTCATGACTGTGACTCCACCCTAGAGCGAAAGAAAGTAGGGGAGACTTCAAAGGTTTTCCTTACAACCACAGAAGTCACCGTCTGCCTCTTTGCTCACTTTTATGTACCTGGCACTTGAGATCTGCTGGCAGCCCTTTCAGTGCGGCTCCAGTGGCAGGGTGGGCCAGTAACTTCACATTTGGGGTGTCAGAAAGAACTGTGTTCCCTCTACCCTTTAAATCAACATTGTAAATGTGTCAACATCGCCCGTAGGAAGCATTAGAAAGTGCTATTTTAAAGTGTTTAGAAGGCAGCTTGGATTTTTTTCCATTTGAGCTTTGTGTAAACAAAGGTTTTCTGCAACCTGGGGCTCCTGTGAGAGTCACCCAGCCATCACAATGAGAAAACACATGCTGGAAAATACACAGCAAAGCCAGAACCAGTGAAAACTACTGTATTTGCCATGTATGCATTTACATCAAATTCATCAGTTAAACAGTAGCCAAACCTTGCTAGAAAATAGTTGTAATGGGATACATTTCATGCTGTATTTTGGCATTTAGTGTTTGTAACACTCTGTGCTGAAGGAAAATAAAGGTGTGGAACAGTCTATGTGACTGAGAAGATGTCAGATTAAAAGAGATGGAGCAAATTAGAGATTGTTAGGAAGCTTTGATTAGTCACAACTTCTCAGAAAATTAACTTCTAGTTATTTGTTTGGCTGCTGCTTATGTCACCAGTGTGTTTGCTCAGGTCTAAAAGACTTGCACACAAAAGCCCCAAGCTCAAGTTAATGGGACTGACATGCTGCAAGAGACCAGATAATTAATACCAGGAGTTTGGGTGGAGCAGGATAGGACTGCTCCAGTCATTTGTTTTGTCCCACTCATGTATTACCCATTGTATGAAGCAGCTGTAATTCTTTAGCAACATGTAAACAAGATTTCTGCCAATTAATAGCAAGGAATCTCACACCACTGATTGTTGCTCTGTGTCTTAGTCTGCAAGGTCTGTCTCAGACACCATCCTAAGGAGTAGATGTTGTTCATGGCTTTGTTGGAGGTTAGGAAAATATCCCAGCCTTATGATCTTAGTAACTGTGAAGTTTCTACTTTGCCAGGGCACTCAAAATTCCTGATATTATAAGATTTCAGTAAATTCTTTCATCACACTTAATTATTTTTTATGTAAAAGGCAATATAAATGTAGGTTGTTCATGGCAGTGCGAAGTCTCACACAGTGGATTCCCATTACAGTGACAAAAGCCTTTTCATTTTTTGCCTCATTTCAGTAGAGGTGTTATGAAATGTCTACAACCCATCGGAATGACAATGTCTAAGTATTCAACAATATCTCTTAAGATCAAATTTTTCTAACCTGGATTATTATATAGAGCTTTCATCTTCCACAAATAAGTCGTTGCCTGCACAACAACCAAATTGCCTTATGTAAATCTGCAAATAGCCAGCAAGCTTCTCTCTCTGCACATTACCTATGCATGCAAATAAGCCTTTTGAGAATAGCTCCATTTTCACTTCTATATATATATATATGCAAGAACAGTCAGATTCTTGCTCATATTATCTAGGAATGTTGATCAAATACTAAAAGTTACAGGACTTTTTTTTTCCTTTACAAACATAACTAAAGACTGAGATTTGTGTATATAACTGTATATCACTTTCACTGGAAGCAGGAAGCTTCAAAAAGAACTGCTGCCAACGGGACAACAAAGCTCATGATTTTAACCTTTGCCCTGTAGTCTGTAAGTCAAAGATCAAAGTTCCCTAGTTCCAAAGTTGTTTGCATACAGTCATTCAACACAACACATGCTTTCAAGGAATTTCTTTGTAAATACAATTATAATGTGCAAAACCCAGCAAAACAAAACAGTCACGTATGTTCATGTTGATTGAAGGTTAAAATCATAGGTCACTCTCAGTTTCAGTTTCCTGAGGTTTGAGTTTGCTATCTCAGATAATAAAATTTATGTGCTTTGCAGAACAAAATCTGCTATAAATAAATTTAAAAGAATGTTTAATTAGTAGTTTCTAGGAAAATGTGAATGTAAAAGTACTTATACCATGCACAAACTTGATATGATTTTAATAATATCTGCACAAAAGGGGATTCTTCTTTTTACTTTCACCTATGGTGGGGAAGTCTGTATTTCCTCAGTAAAGGTGCAAGAGCACCAGGCACAAAAATGTTGTGTTAGCTCTTAGCAAATCTTTTGTACTGGTGATTTCTGTGGCTGTTTTTGGAAGTAGTGACTTAAGGCTCACAATATACTACTAGTTTAGTACAGACAAATGTAGTAGGTAGTTTTTCACTCGTCACCTTTAAAAGTGGATTGAGGCCATTGTGTTTTGTGACCAAAGAGCACAATGCTGACAAGGACCTTCAATTGCTGCCTGTATTTTTACTGCTTGATTAGCAGCGGAGCTGTATGGACCCTGATGTCTCTTCTAAAGAACAGCAGCTCTAAAAGTGCACCACATCCTTCATGATGACATAGGCAGTGAATTCCTATTGCCAAAGCAGTGTCCTGAAGGACACAAAGCACTGGGGGTTTTTTATACTGTCAGTGTCAACGAGCAGATTGTGCTTCTCCATGATGTTAATCTAATTTGAGAAAACAGATTGTTCAAAACATCTTGTCATTGCTAATAGTGCTGTAAGCATAAATGTGCTATATTTTCAGAATGCAATTTGCAAGAACCTCAGTTTGTGCTTTTGAAATTGTGCAAGATTTGCAATAAAGTGCAAAGACAGTTGTTTTGCGCTTGTTCCAGTGCCAGAGAGAGTGGGGAAAAAAATTATTCTCCAAATCCTATATTTGAACACTGTCTTTCAAGAAGCTTAATAAAAATTTTAAAATAATGGCAGTTTTCTATTTTTTTTTTTACAAAGAATAATTTATCTAAGATTTTAAGGTGGTTTAAGAGTAGATTGAGTTTTCTTTTTCAGATAAATAAAAACACTATCCAAATTCTAATACATTTTTGCTTTTCTTCATAAATTGCTACTAGAGATTTCATTTCCTGGTAAGTATTTTATTCACAGTGTCTGTTCACTAGACCTGGATTTCTGCAAAGTTTTAAAATTTTTGCATATCTAACCAACTCATAAAATGTAGCATATTCCTATTTAGCACTGGAATAAAAAGTACTTAAATACCAAAAGAAGCTCTGGTATTTCTGGCCACAAGTTCAGCTATGAAGTCTATGAATCTTCCAGGGAAACTTATCCCAGCTAAATATCCAGCCCAGTTTTGCAGACTCAACAGATGTGGACGATTCAAACAAGCATCTGGACTTTTGATGTTTACATAAAACCAAGTGCTGGTTTTCTGAGGTTCCCCAGATCTAGAGACCTCCCTGCACCTACTGACAAATTCTGACTGAAACCTGAACCATTTGTGACTAACCAGAATCAACTGTCTGAACCAAAACCAGGGACAGAAACCATCTCTGTCATAAAACCTTTTCAGGGTGTTCCAGTCATGAGGCAAGCCTAGCGTTTTGGCTACATGTCTGATTGCTATCAGGGGCTAACACCTCAGCTGGGACAGATGACCATTACACCATTGAATTCCTAGATTTCTGGATTGCTTTGAAGTGAATTTATCACTTACTGAATAACAATATACTCACAAACAAATTTTGGGAAGAAAAAAAAAAAGAAAAAGAGAGGTCTTTAGTTGTATTACTAGGCTCTGGATTCAATTAATTTGTAAGAGTTGAGAAAAGCCCTTTTCTTTTTAAACCAGACATTTATTTTTAACAAGGGATGAAATCATTGGAGAACAAAAACTGAGACATCTGTTGTTTTATATCTGTTTATTGTAAGTACTTAAATGTGAGTTCGGTTTCACACAGTTTTGACATTGTTGCTTCATTAATAATGATTACGTAATTGCAACCACAAAACAAGCTGTAAGGCTGTAACATTTTCATTACTTATTAGAAAAGAACTCGAAACAAAAGACAGATCAGCAAGGAGGTAGCAAAGATTTTTGTGTTGAAAGTGGTTCATATATAGAATTTCATAGCAAGATCAAGGTGATGAAAATACCTAATAGACATTTCTGTTAAATAATTTCATTTTTAAAAAATAAAAAAATCTTCAAAATGCACATTTCTATCAGTGAAATTTTGGGGGAAGAAACCAGCACCTCACTGTTGCTGTTTGACAAAGTTGACAAACATCACACTGTTTAAATAAAAATATTTTTCTGATGTTTTCTCTATTTTTGAAATATTTTTTTCCCTTAACATGTTCATACAAATATTAAGCCCAATGATTTCTGAATGAGTTCAAAATGTAAATGAACTCACTTAGGTTATTTAAACCACTGTAAAATTTTACATTTTTAAAGTACAACTCTCCAATCCATATTTTTTTTATTTTATTAATGTTACCAAAAAATGAATTTTTACCTTTTTGACAGTTAAAATTTTGAATTATATTTTTTAAATAACTTTCACTTTTTTCACAAGTGGAAACTTAAGTTTCTTACTAGCTGCCATGACATGACCTCACCTGCACTGACCACTTGGAACAGGGCCATTTTCCTCATACATTTCCTGGGCAAGGAGGAGTGTGGTAAAGACAAAGTGCAGTGGTATCATTCAACATAATTGTAAAGGAGGAATGCTGGTATCTCACAAGTAGATACATCATAGCCATGTAAGCAGCAGAGACACCATATCCCAGAGTAGTAACAGACCACAGCGTACACTATATTAACCACAGCTCTATTTTTACATATGTGATGAATGTCTTCTGGTTTTTTGCCTAGTGTTTACACAGATCCATAAATTTTCTACCCTGAAGGAGTCATGCCAGTATGGACAGTTGTTGTGGTACTCTGAATCAAATTAGCAGTCAAGATTTTTCCCCCACTCAGGACATTCAGGCCTCTACTGTACTGGCATCCCTTAAGTTGCCATGCCACACAACACCTTGGGCACAAAAGCCTTCCTATGCAGCAGTAAGCCCATAGAAATGCAAAGTCCATAATTGCAATCACAAATTTTAAATCGAATGAAAGCCAAGATGCTGTGGTGTTGTATCATCAAAACCTTGCAGGCTCAGATGGAAGGGCTAGGGAGGATTGGCAGGCACGTGGAAACAGAGCTGTAATAGAGACAAACAGGGAGTCTTAAAACTGAGGACAGAGAGCAATTGACTCTACTAATGGAAACACATGCAGTATTAAATGAAAGTGTTCTGCACCTTCCTCATAAGGTGACACTTGGGAGCCCAGTCTCTCCATCCTGTAGGGTACATTTTTAACACGGTGTGAGGGGGAAAACAGCTGAGTGATTCCAGCTCCGGTTAATGGGAGCTGTGCTCCTAATCCATGGTGTGCAGTGTGAAATATTTACCTATGCCTTTCCAGTGAGGCTACTTATGTAATTTCAAGGGAGGAAGTAGCCAAGGGGAAGCTGCTTTATACCAATTAAATGGAGAGGAATTGGATGGAGGGCAATTCAAAGCATTCATCCTTATAGGGAGATCTGTGTTTAAACATCTCGATGGGACATTTTTTAATGAAGAACTAAACTGCACGCCCTGCATATGTCAGAAAGGGATGGCTGGGGCCCAGAACACTGAATTTCTCTCTCAGGAAGGAGACTAGTGTGTAGTGTAGCTTCCTGCTGGGTGATATATTTACCTTATCAAGATGATCACAGAGAACTGTGTAAGTATGTATATTCATAAATCACTTCACCTCCAGACTATGATGGGAGAATGTTGCAAGGTTGGAATGTTTAGAAAACACCTCCAAGTATCTTAAGGCCTTTCTCAAAGTTTATCAGATTCTGTCTGACCCTGAGAAGTCTTCTTACTCCTTGTCTTCATCTTGCTTTTAAATTTTTCTTCACACTCTCCCCATTTCTTCCATTCTCCATTTGCCCTAGTCCTTCTTCAATATACTACAAAGTTGAAGCTCCTGTGTCTTACATATAAGCAACTCTTGTGCAGATCGTCAACTTCAATCCAGACTGAAGGGATCAAATCAGAGGATTCTGGAAGATATCAACAGCTGTGTAATATTGAGTCTCTGTGACCCACTTTGCTAAGATCTAAGTGAGTCAAAGTTGAAGTAGTTAACACCCTGAGGACCTAAATGAAATACCTCACTTAGATATTGGGCACTTTGTTGCAAAAACCAGAAACTCTCCTTATGTTTCGGAGAGAGACCTGGATACCATGTGATTTACCACTTCTGATGATGATCCTGTCTATTCTACGTATACAGATCAAAAGTCTAATGAGAAAACGTTGAATAGAGCATCCCATTAACCATCAGACCTAGCAAAACTTTACTCTGGATGTTTTGGAGTTAACAAAACAAAACCAACCACCAGCAAATGAATAGCTATACATTTACTACAAAAGAGTTTCGAATTTTGCCTTTGCTTTGGTTCACAATTGTCTAATTATTCTGTTTTTTCATGTGGACTGCCCTGCAGAAAACAGTTTAGATGCAACTTTTTCTCATGCTGTACATAAATTAAACTCCAGCTGAGGCTACAGGCAGGCAGTTTTCAGGCCCACATTTTGGCATCAGTGTAGTTGCTCTGTGTTGGTACGGGTGTAAATGAGATCAGAATCTGGCCTGTGCTGGACCACTGCAGTCCCACTTGAGAGCTGGGCTAAGATGCACAGGTGAGAATGTGCACACATCTGCTAAGCCCATTGGCTTGTCAGATTACCTGTATTTGCAGATTCTCTATCTGACCAGTAACAGACACAATCATCTGGCGTTGGATGATTGCAAAAAGCAACCTTGTACAGTGAGATCTGGTACACAATTCTTGCCTCCTATGCTGTGTGTAGATATAAAGATATTGGCCCCTTTTGTCTACAAAGTCCCTCTAGTCTTCCCAGGAAGCAACAATCAGAGCAAGGACAAACTGCCAGATCCAAGACCCACAAGTAAATTCTGCACTAAGAGCTCCTGCCTGTCATACTCCAATGCCAGAAAAGATTTGCCACTGCTCTCATGGAGTAAGAGAACAGAAATAGCTACTGGACAGGTGGAGGGCAATTGGATAAGTTGATAAGGGTGAAAAAAGTGGCTGCAACTCTGGGTCCTACCGTATTTGCCCAAATAATTTCTCTCCTGTGGCCTGCCCTTGTGTTCAGATCTGTATTAGATTGCATAGGGCACTGCTATAATCTACTCTATCATGCACACTTTCTTTCTTATATTCAACTCTTTCATTTGTTTCTTCATCTCAAAACAAATGATTCAGAATTGTGCATCCTCTCTCACTAGAAAAGATTCATCTTTCCTTTGTATACCCCTGGTTTAGAAACAGTATCTACTACTTCCAAAAAAACCCTGGGAAGCCTGAGGAAGCAGAATGAATATGCATTTTTGGAAATTGCTACGACAAGAAGCTAGGAAACTCAAGGAAAGACTGCCTTACACTCCTTCCCAAGCCCTTTCCTGAGCAGTACTTGTCTCTCTCAAGAATTGTAAGACAGGGCAGAACAGAATGAAATGGTAGTTTTGAGAAGGTTGCAATACATGGATATCCCAGCATGTTTTTGATTAATTGCTCAATTTAAGATCTTTGATTACTAATGCAACCCAGTCTGGCTTCCATCCAAATACAGTGAAGTGGGGAAAGAAGACAGACTTCTAGTGGAGGATAGACTACTCTAGGTTTTCCTGTAAAGCTTCACAAAATTGTGCTCACAAAAGGCAAAATTATGAGTGACACTAGAAGACCAGGAAGAATAATAAAAATGTTGGGAGAGATCTCAAGTCTTATAATTAAAAGTTCTCTGCATTCTCAAATCCCAAGATATGCTGAAAGGTGAGCAGAACTATCCTGAGGAAATTCAACGAGGACAGAACTTCCTCCCAATGAAAATTCAACCTACTTTTCATTGCCATAAGTTTTTTCAGTAAGAAATATTCTACATTCTTTTCCTCATAAGCTTATTCTTGCTAGTGCCCAGTTTTAATTACCTGCCCTCTTTTAAGCTGGAAAGCATTGGTTCTCCCCTCATGTCCACTCTGATACATATAAAGACATATATATTACATGCAGTAGGACATATAAAGACTCACGTTGTGACTCTGTCTTTCCATCTGTAGCAGACTGCAGTGTCATGACTGCTGGGTGATGAGGAGAAGTAAGCTATGGAGCCTAAGGTGCCAAGGGGAACTTCAGAACTGACTTCCGCTGGGCTTGAGCAAGAAAGCATAAATAAGGAAGTCTGCAATAACTGTGGAAGTATGTACCTTTCTTCAGAGAAGAAGAGAAATGGCAGTGTTCATTTCTGGGCTCTGCTGGGGATGTAGGCAGGACTCACATTTCTGCGCCAGCCACACTGCAGGGCTGAAGCCATGACCTTCTGATGACAAGGAGTCTTTGCAATGCAGGGATCAAACAATCCGTTTGGGGAGACACACAGATGGCCCCACTAGTCCTGTCCACAGTGGCCATCATTCTCCTGCTGAGTCAAATTCCTGTAAAAAAGACATTGCTCTACTGGCCCAGGGGTCCTAACAATGCCACACAAGACAATCTTAGGAAAGATGTAGTTCATGCGAGTTTGTAACATCTGTATCTCTTGTTGATGCCTGTAGGCTACTCTGTACCAGCTGCTGCAGAAAAACAACTTCTTCTCCCTGCCTGGGAACTTAAAAATTTATATATTTTTAATGTATTTCTTACCATTCAGCTATGGTGGTGTGAGAGGGAATGATTCCCTTTTCTCCTCAGAGCAGTCATTGCTTCAAAAATGCTCCTCCAGGAACAACTGCTCCCGGTTCAACCAAATGCAAGATGAACATCAGTGCTTCAAGTACTCAGTTTTTCCTCCATCACCTCTGTAATATCTTTATCATCTGCCTTGCTCTGTGTTCTTATAAACCTATAAAAATTATTTATGCAATGACCCCACTAGGCTTGTGTCCCAGAACCCTGCCTCTCCCTATAGAAACTAACAATTTACTCAAACATGCACCAGGCATGGGCCCCTCAAGTGCACCACTCTGTAAAAAAGTGCAAACAAGAAAGAAAAGAAATTACAGGAATAAACCCCTTCCCCAAGGTTTGGAGGTCCAGAGAGGCGAGATACATGCTATAAAGTGACAAAATATTTTATTACTGTCATGTGAAGAAATCTCTTTATCTTGTGAAGTGCAAGCAAGTTTTGATTGGCTTCACAGGGAGAGACTTGTAGTTAGCAGAAAGTCCTGGAAGCCAGCTCACACTTTAACTACTCTCCAGAGTCTGTCTGCCCTCCTGGGAAGCCAAAAAACAAGATAAAACATTTAAAAGCTGTCTATCGCTTCTCACTGGGAGCCGGCTCAAGAAAGCCATAACATAGTCACCGTGTACAAGGAAAGCCCCCACACCTTGTGTGTTAGACCCCCTTCAGTTCATCAGAGGCCTGCAAGAGAGCAAAGAGATGGCTTTCCACCACATATCTCTCACTCGTGGGGGCTGGCTGGGGCTGGGGACAGGTCTGCTGGAGGGCATGGAGAGGAGACAACCCACCCTGCATGAGCCAGCTGCAAACCCTCTGCATCCACCAAGCATAGCCGGGGCCCAGGGACAGACTACAGGGAAAGACAGGGAGCATAAACATTGTCTGTGTTCTGGTCTAGCCCTCAGAGGCATGTGAGAGACAAAGAGCGTTTCCCAGGGGCATGATCCTTACGTGTCTGCAGGAGTAGAGCACACAAACTGAGGGCTATGAACCCTCTCTGTCACACAGGTTTGGGCCACCAGACTTGGTGTGCTGGCCATCTCGGTCTGTGTGCTTGTTAGAGAGCCTGGTCAGGAAGAGAAGACACACAGTACTTCCTGTCTTATGTAAAAAAATTAATAGTAATAATTGAAAAACTTCCACAGAAGCCACAAGGCTGACAGCAAACCTCTGGGTTCTTGACTGCGGCCGAGTGTATTTGGCCACCTGAGTGGAGTCCGGCTAGCTGTGGTCAAGTGGCCGACACCTCAGCTGCATCGGAGGCCAGCCCCCCTTGGCGTCTTGGCCTTGGGCTGGGCTGGATGGTGGGCTGGAATACGCGGCGTGGACGGGACAAGTAAGGAGCCGGACACTTGCTGGGGGTGAAGGTCGGTTTATTGTAGCACAGAAGCTCCAACCGGTGGAAGGGTCCCCAGCAAATGGCAAGAAGGGAAAGGAGGAACAGGGTTTTAAAGACAGGAGGTGGATAAAGGAGGGATCCACAGCTGACCAATAAGGTGAGGTATTGGGAGGAACTTAACATAACGGGCATACAACAATATCCAATAAATACAAAGTAAAGGAGGGGCCCCGGGACCACAGCCAACCACAAACCCCAGAGAGAAGAAGGTTCTCGAAAGCTAGGAGGAGTGAGGGGTGATTGACTGGGCCCAGGGAGGAGAAAAAGTTTACATATAAGGAGGGATAGGGGAGGAGGAATTACATAACATAACTAACTGACAATACCAGGGGCAGGTGTTGCTATGGAAACAAAACTGGCAGGAGAGCTGTGGCGGGAAAACTGGGAAGGGCAGAACCATTTCATATAAAAGGGGGAATACAATACATAAAATGGGGGAGTAATACAAAAAACTCAAACCACACACTACAACACTTGACCACATGTCAACCCATCCCTCGTTTTGCTTTTTTAACCCTCAGCTAACAGGCCAACCACCAGAGTGTGTTGGGGTTCACCAGCATGGCAAGGGGTGCTCTGAGTGACATCAGAGCCCATGTGCAGCAGTGCATACATGTCCTGTGCAGGGAGCTGCCTGGGTGCTTGTTTGCTACTCCAGACAACACTTGTAAGGGCAGCTGGAGGCTGGGCAGGGGTGCTCAGCACCAGCTGGTCACAGGAGGTTTGGTTTGGCAGACACAGGTGGGAGCAGGTGGTAGTGATCCTGCTCTCTGGTCCAACCCTCTAAGGACTGAGGTTGGAGACTCTTCTGTGCTCTTGTGAACAACATTACTGTTGAGGGGCCTCAGACTTTGAGTTCCTGTTTGTTCCTTGCATATGTTTCTGGTGGGTTTTCCTGCTCTCTTCCTCTGGGGAATAGTAACTTCCATTGCCCTGGGTGAAATGCTCCAAGGTGCCTTGCTGGAGGCCAGAATGCCCTGCAGACCCCCAGTGTGGTGGCACTTCCCTGCTCTCATGCTCTCCTGCCCAACAGGAGTTGGGCAAGCATGTCTTGGGGAACAACAAACCCTCCATGTGCTTGGCAAAGGCTACACAGAAGGGGGTGCAGGTTTCTTGGGCTGGATTCTATTCTCACTCTGTAAGGCACAGTGATTGGTGTTTCTAGACATAGCTGCAGGGCAGATGTATCTGCTTGTCTAGTCTGAACCCCACACTCGGCCTGCAAATACTATTCTCAGGCAGGCTGGAATCCCTTCTTTCTGTAAAATCATGGTGACACTGAGGAGGAGGTGGATAGCAATCAATTGCTCTCTTTTCCACCACAGGAACCAGGGAGTGGCAAACATATTTAGTGGGAAGTATAATCAAAACAAGTAAAAGGTATTCATGTGAAGAGTACAAAGACATCTTATGGAGAAGGACCAAGTCTGGGGAGTTCTGTTTCCATATGGGATTTTGGGGTGAATGAGATAATCTCTAAAAACTTTTGGGATCTCTTCTAAAGAAAAGATGCAAACCAGACTAATTCTGCTGATTCACTATTGCCATGTGGATTTAACTGGGATAATTTAGACATTTTATTTTTTACCCAAGACTCTGTGAAATAATTGGATTAATTCAGAGGTGTGCTTCCTGCAGGAAAAAAAATCAACAGAGTATGGTCTGACAAACACACAGGTGTGTGTCCCCTGCCTTAACCTATAGCCTTATAGCAAAAAAACAATCAGCAAATACATGAGTGACACTAAACAATGTATTGCAAGAAGATGCAAGGAAGTGAATTATCAAAATGTACAGTGGTTGTGCTTTTACAGCAACTTTAGATTTCTCAACCACTTTAGCTAAGCATTGCCCTGTATCCCTGAAATCAGGAGTCATTACTAAATGGTGTCTGAGCAAGCTCTTGTCTGCTTTCAGTTCATCTCTGAACTGCAGGGCCAAAGAAATTGTTCCAGCAACATATTTTTGATCACCTAGCTTGAATTTACATTCTGGGATGGGAGGAATGGTGGAAGGAAGGAAATGAGGAAACAATGAAACAGAGGGAGGGAAAAAGGAAGGAAGTGGCGGAAGGAAGGAAGGAAGTGGAGGAAGGAAGGAAGTGGCGGAAGGAAGTGGCGGAAGGAAG